GGCTACAGCAACGTCCCTATGGCCAACCTGGGTGTCCCAGGATCTCCAGGATTTCTAAACGGCTCCCCCACAGGCTCCCCTTATGGAAGTAAGTGCCCTGTCCATCCCTCCAGCTCTCCCTGTCTGTCTCTCTATCCCTGGGTTTTACTCCTCAGCCTTTTGAGGGAGAGTAGCATTCCAGCATCTTACTGACTCACGGAGTGGTCCTTCCTGCCTTTTGTACTTTTCCTTTAGTGGACTTGGGTTCATCTGGTTACTCAAAGCTTTTCAAGGGAGAGAAAAGGAGCGAAACGATTCCCTTTTTACAGGGAAACAATAGACGTGGCTTCTGTAGACGAGAGCAAGGAATTAAGATTCCAACTCAGTTAACATTCTGTACACTCTTCATTAGGCACTTTCAGATGCAGTGTTTTATTTACTCTTCACAAGAATTCTCTGAGGTCAGTATAGGCAAGGGTTTAGTTAACTGACTTGTGCAAGATCAGACAGCTAGAATGGAGAAGGACAAGAATCTGGACACAGAGTTGATGACTCCAGGTTATTCTGTGTAACACACCATCTCCCTTTTCACTTTGTTACATGGCTCTCCCCTCCCTTACGTACCTCCAGAGAGACGGAACTTGACTGCCGGTGACAGTGTAATATATGGGGACAGAAGCTCTTAGTCCTAATCTGTGGGCTAGCAGCAAGCTAGACGTTCTAGGAAGTTACGAAAACTCATTCAGGTGGCTTTGGGGGCTAAGCTGGGACCTTGCACAGTGAGCCCAGGAGCCTCAGAGAAGATGAGGCTACTTAGGGCATATTTCAGGCTGGGAGAGAAGCCACCGTGGAGAGTCTGAGTGACTGAGCGGAGTGTCCTTGAAATGCTGTACCTTGTTGCAAGGCTCTGCTGCCCAGAGCGGTTCCCTCGTGCCAGGAACGAGGGGGAGTCAAGGCCATTTCTACCGCAGCTCGGGAAGTGGTGCCAAGGGTCTGGAGGCCACCGCTCTCAGCCTTTGGGCCTGTGGTTCCCCGGGGACACACATCCAGGAGTTACTTCTGGGTTATCTGTTCAATTCATTACACTCAACACTCATACTAAGTGTGGTGAAGATATAGCAGGGGCTGGTTCTCCCAGGACAACTAAAATCTCGTTGCTGCAAAGACATGAGTTCTTCATGGTGTCCTGTCAGATGGCCAATTAGATCAATGAGATCAGAGGGACCTAGGAAACCAAACTGTTGCTTGCTTTATTTATTTACTTACTTACTTACTTGTTTTTAACCTTCTCTTGTTCCAAAAATGTTCTGGGGGAATATTAATAGTCAGATGGGCAGTATGAAAGTGTAAAATAGAAACTATAAGAAACATAAAAGAAAAAAATACGTATCAGAAAATGAGATGAAGCCAAGGGTTAGAATGGATGCCGTCTGGTCTATTCAAGGGAGTCATTAATTTGGTTCAGAGGCTTATAAGATGGTAAAGCAAAGAGACAAACACTATTTGTTATAAAATTTTATGTCCACACATTATTATTAGTAGCAATAGTTGTAGTAGTAGTAGCAGCCGCTCAAGAGAAACCTGATTTTTCTGTGGCTGAGACCTTGGAGAGGTTTCTCCCATGCAACCTCGTGGAGAGGGTACCCTATGTGCAGAAGGGACCACATCTTCAGTAGCCCCTGCAAGTGGTACAAGGACAAAAGAGCCATTGTGTAAATAATGTCACATGATAACGGTCACAACAGTAAGAGTAATTTACAGTCACATTCTACCTTACAGCTTAAAAAGCATGTTCACACATAGAGTCCAATCAGATCCTCACAATCATATAATATGGATATAATAATCATAATAATTTATTATGTATATAATTTACATGTTTATATATTTATTAATATAATTTATTTTACTAGTATCATCACCATTTTCCCTTCTAAGATATGAAGGGTTATTAAATGACTTACTCAAGGGTTCATTGCCAATAAACAGTAAAAATGTGGCTAGATCATATGTCATCAGATTCAGGAGATCATGTTTTTAAATTATTCAGTAATATTCAAAATATTTCATGTCTTTATAACACATTATTAGGCTGAGCCGTATGAAACCACCTCTTCTTTATTTCCAAAATGTGTCATTTCATATGTTCGATCATACACAAATGGCTGAACCACGTGAAATTCTCATTTTTGTAGGTCAAAAATGGTTAATATAACAATACAGTGTTTAGTGTGGTGATGGGTGAGGGAGAGAGAAAAAAAAGACAGGAAGGAGTGGGTGGGGTGTGGGTGGAGAGAAAGAGAGAGACAGAGAGAGAGAGTGAATGGATGAATGAAATTGCCCATCTGGTGTGGATGGCTTGATGTTTCTTACTAGATAATTCATTCGGTAGAAAGGGACCCTTCCCACTCCAGCAAGTGACAACTTCCTTCCACTACCCTTTCTTCATCGGTCAATCCCACTGCCACAAGAAAAACAGTAACACCCTGTCTTCAAGTCACCCATTAAAACAAGAGAGCATGCACAAAATAGA